ACCATCGTGGCGTCTGGAATTCAGATAATGGAACCTCTCCCAAAACATTCTATCTTTTGGGTAATGCCGGTGACCTGTCCGTCATTTACAAAAAAAATAATTTATTCTGCAAATTAACAAGAGTTCAGCGGAAAAGGGAGTATGTACCTATGAACCCACAACAGGAGTTATCTCGGGTTGTTGTAGTTCATAGATACTATACTTCCTTGAAGTTGGACTCTTCCTATAAGAAAAAGGTCACTTGGCTGGGAGAGGGGGGGTTGCAAAGTAATTTGGCTTTAGTGGAATATGTGGGTAAATTCCCGGGTTTAGGTCCTCACGGCAATTCTAGACAACAAGGTGAGTTTTTACGTACGCCCGACTATGTAATGGACGAAGTCACGGATTTATTATCTCAGAACAAACCCAAACAAGTGTATGATAAGTTAGCAGCCAAATATGATGAAGTTTCCCGTCCATCCAACATTCAGAAAATCCGTGACAGAAAAAAATATATGACAAAGACCGACGCGCAACATTCATCCTCACGCAAGAATGTTGCTGACCACATACAGACTTTAGGAAACATGGTGTCCAATAATCATCCCTACGTTAGGTCCATCATTAGAAATAATAGCAAGACACCATGTATCATACTTTACACGGACGAACAGTTGGCCGATTTACATAACTTCTGTTGCCAGGGCCACACTGTAATTGGGACTGACAAGACATTTAATGTATGTGACATGCACGTAACGGTCACCTGCTACAAACAACTCAGTGTTAACAGACAACGGACGGACGAACATCCTATATTCCTTGGACCAATTTATTTACATGACAATAGTGACTTTGAGTCGTACTGCCAATTCTTTAACCACTTAAAAATGAAACTTTGTAGCTCCCCCCTGGACAAATTGGTTATCGGCAGTGACGACGAACGCGCTCTTGTAAAGGCTATTACAACGGCGTTCCCTGAATCGACGCACGTACTTTGCACGCGACATCTGTACACAAACACAAAACAAAGACTGATAGACGACGGCGTAAACGACAAGAACAGGACTGACATACTCGACATGATATTTGGTGACGGTGGAATCTTGGACAGTGACGACAGTATTTGTTTTGACGAAAAATGTGACCGACTAGAAAATCACTGTAGGGAAATGTCACAAAACTTTGTGAAATACTTTCAAGACAGACTTCGACCACATATGAAAACAAAGGTTAATGACCCCTCACTATCTGATAAGGTTGACGGACATTGGACGAACAATAACTGTGAGTCAATGAACCATGTCCTTAAACAGGCCATAGACTGGAAGTCCAAGCCATTGACTGACCTGGTTGAGACGCTCCATTCCCTGGTCCCAAGGTCAATTTCTGGACTTGCGTAGTTGCCATTATCGGTGCTGGTGAGTTCAGACTCGCACAAACTTCATTCACAATTTCAACTCACCAAATCTGTGTATGTAGACATGACGGACGAACAGAGACGCAAGCATTTTGTCCGTTTTCGACGCCACCCGTATCAAAAGCCCGGTTACATGACATCTACGGACGGACAATCGACGATAATTGCACAAGAACCCACGGTAAAAAACCAGGTCAACGAAAAAGAAAAATTAACACTCGAACTGTGACAGTGAAGAAAACCAAAGACAGGATTTAAATATCAATGCATAAATATATTATAGATGACCGCATAAGTAAGATTTTCGAGTGTGTCTTAAGATGTCATTTATGCTCATCAGGCTATAGTCAAGCCCATACTCGAACTTATATACTACAACACAATATATTATGTATTGATATTTATCTATGACCGATGACATTGACATGACATTCATTTTGTTGTCTGGAATTGCCAATTCACAGTGCCCTGAAAATTTATGATGGAAAAAATATGTTGAACATAAATATTAAGTATCAATATTAATGTATATTATATAAAAATTTATATCACGACCGCAATAGTAGGTTCGAGTGTGTCTTAAGATGTCATTTATGCTCATCAGGCTGTAGTCTAGCCCATACTCGAACTGAAATGGGATTACCATAATATAATATGCATTGATATTAATATTACATAAAAAAAATCTAGGGTCTGCCTATGTATATATATTTTGTAGTTTTATATGTATATAATAATGAGATAGTTTATTTGTTGATTTGTTTTTAAAACATCACTATTTGTAAATATAATTAAAATTTATAAGTTTAAATGAACATTTCAATATCATATATAATACCTCAATTAATCAATCAGTTAAATACATCAAGTTATTGTGTATTATTAACACCTCTTTAAATAGGTTTGAATAATTAAATCAGCGTGTGTCCGTTCAATCAGCGTGTGCACGTGTAATAAACGAGGCGTGAAGTGTGCCTTGATTGATTTCAATATCATACTTATTTTTCAATTATGTATGTATATATGTTTGCCAAGTTCTGTTTTATATCTGTTTATTTTGTTCTTAGTAATTAGTTTCGTTTATTTTTATTTATTGCACTGTTTATTGTCAAAAATAAAAAAACATCACTGAACATACATGCCATAACGTCCCGGATGCCCTGGATTGTCCCGGAAATCGGATGTCTGTCCCGGAGATGTCCCGGGCATCGATTTGATCCCGGAAAAAAAATCATGATATTTTGCAAAATTTTCATAAATTTTCTTAAATCAAATCTCGCACATTTCACCTCTCGATCGTAAAACATATTCTGACCTGGTACACATAATACACAGGAACGTTGACACTTACAAGTTTACAATATACAGCCCCCCAATTATCGACTGTCATTCCCCTCGGCAATAGATTCTTCATGCATCGGCAATTAACATTCTCTGTTGAATTCGGCAGCGTTTAATGGTCGGGTTAATTAATGGTTTACGGCCCTTAACAATTATCGTTAAATCCCCGATAATCATTAATTTTTAGATCAAATTGCTAACTTGCCGAAAGTCTAATTATTTCAAAACAATGTAAATATATCTATCAAATAAAAAATTAAAGGTGTCAAATAAATCACCTTGCTGTGTTTTGTTTTTATGACTGGAAGAATTGCATTACGTTACATGTAGTAATTATCACGACTTTAAATATAACGGACCACACCCGGTGAACAACATGGCTGCGCCCATTCACCGGGTTTATAACTTACAACTTACTTGCTTTTAGTGAATAATAAATGAAATAAAGAAATACTATACAATGATAAATATGTCGACCTAAAAGACTACTTATAAAACTAGTAAGTTAACTGTTTATCATTAAAATTCAGAAGAAGTCGTCCTAATTTAATAACGTTATACGATTGATACCCCCCCCCCCTTTTCCACAACTTATTGCCGCGATGAAAAGTGTCCCGGAAAGCTGTCCAAAAATTATGGCATGTATGTCACTGAAACAATTATTGTTCTTCTCTTCCTGCTATTTTGAATCCTCTTGTCTTCCATATAGCCTACAACAAATAAATATATTAATATATTAGACAAGGTACATACATTTTAAATATTTATATACCATCTGTATGTCTGAGAGGTAAGAGGACCCAGTGCTTTTCGGTGATGTATTACTATTACTTCACAGGACCGGAAAGCAAATGGAATGCTGCAGGACCGGAAAGCACTCGATATATCTATTTTAATATCTATTTTAAAACTTTTTATTCGTAATATTAATTATGAAAAAAATAATGTCAGGGAGATTTTTTCCTAATAAATCTCTTGGTAACGGTTTTCAATTCAATACAATGAAGGTTGTACGTTTTTTTAGGGAAAATTCGAGTGCTATTCGGTACATATACTTAACAAAACCGGAAAGCATTCTCAATTTATTTAACATTCCTAAATAATCGTTACAATAATCATATTATAATTATAAAAACATGTTGTCTGGAAGACTTTGATATAATAAATCGATTGGTAACACTTTCAAATCAATGAAATAAAGTTTTCATGTATTACTTTGATAAACTATATTGCTATTCGGTAAAGTACATGTACCCTAGCAGGACCGGAAAGCACTCGATATATCTTATTTTCCTAATCAAACGTAATAATAATCATATTATAATTATAAAAACATGTTGTCTGAATAATTTTGATATAATATATCGATTGGTAACATTTTCAAACCAATGAAATAATGTATCCATGTATAACTTTTATAAACAATATTGCTATCCGGTAATGTACATGTATCTTAGCAGGACCGGAAAGCACACGATATATCTATTTTCCTAAATACTCGTAATAATTATCAATATATTTTTATAAAAATGACTTGTCTGTAAGATTTTGATCTAATAAATCGATTGGTAACACTTTCAAACCAATAAAATAAAAATTTTATGTATAACTTTGATAAACAATTTTGCTATCCGGTAATGTACATGTATCTTAACAGGACCGGAAAGCACTCGATATATCTATTTTCCTAAATACTCGTAATAATTATCAATATATATTTTAAAAAATGATTTTTCTGAAAGATTTTAATCTAATAAATCGATTGGTAACACTTTCAAACCGATTAATTAACGTTTTCATATGTTTTTATGAGAAATTTGAGTGCTTTCCGGTTTTTCGGTGCTATCCGGTGCTTTCCGGTTTTTCTATGCACCCAAGAAAATGCAACGGACTGCTGGACCAATCGACCACCGGATGACTCCTATATACCCCCCCCCCCCATTTCGTTTCGGGGCGGGGGGGGGGGGTATAAAAAGAAGCACTTCCACTCTAATGGTGGAAACATTATTTGTGGCGTTCAGTGTGTAAAGTAAACCGGAATGGGCAAGGACGCGGTACCTGCGGGGAGAACTATATAGATGTGATTGTCAGGACAACAAGGGGACACAACTTCAAAATAAAAGCGATATATAAATTTATGGAAGCCAGAACTATGACTTGTCATGCATTATGATATCAGGTTTGTGATGGCAAGTGTTTTGCATTTTTAGTTAAAACATGTAATCGATCATTTTCAAGAATTTCCTTTCAATTAACCTACCTCCCTAACACCGGTTATTGCTTTCCCCCAACGAGCTTTAGTAACTGGATCTTCCTTTTTCTTACGTCTAAATGTAAAACAACATTTTTCGGCGTTTTTTCGGGAACCATTTCCAGCTGTAGCATTATTTTCCTCGTTACCTTTCTTATCGTCTTTATCCGTCATTATCTGCGTGGCAATGGTGATGGACGAAGATTAAAAGTGTCGGATTATTATCATTGTTTAAAATATTCCCGGAATTTCCTTCTTTCGTCCGCCATATTGAACAAAACGCGTTGTCAATGACGTCACGTAAGAAAACCATGACGTCATTTCAATTTATTTTGAAAAGGATAGAAAATCAGAATAAAAGCAATAGACAACACGTCTCCCTTATGTTTCTAAACTAAAAATTCACATGTTGGATTCTGATAAAGCCGGTGCTAGGCCAGTAGGAGTGGACGGTATTTTGCACTTTCAAGTACCGTCCATGGACAGACTCAATCTTACCAGGCCTGCAACATTTTCAGTTGCTGTTTTTGGCGTTCTTTGGGATATCTTTTTTTCCTTTCTTATTTTTTGAAAGAATAAATAAAAAAAAAAAAACAACAAACAAACAGAACAAACTATAAAAGGAGTGATCGGGGAGGGATCTTCCAAGTTATCAATGAAATTTTGGTAACATAGATCTATAGATCTAGATCTTAAATGCATATTTTCAGTTTAAGTATTTTTCACTGTAAAGTTTTTTTTCTATAAAGACGGGATTTATTTTCATCTAGTGGTATGAAAATAATCACATTTCACACGTAGCAACCGTCACTCACGAGGGGGGGGGGGGGGGTGGGGCTGGGGGGCAGGGGAACAAGCTTACACGTGACTTTCTTCAAATTTAAATACCAAGTACTCTCTCCTACGTTTTATGATTTTCGAGAACAAGTTATGGCATTGTTTGAATTGTGTCAGAGTGAAAATTGCACGTTGAATTCAGCTTTAAAAATTCACATGACGCGTTTTAGATCTACCAAAAATGAATGAAAATAAGCTAAAAACACAAAATCAAACATAATATTATAAGACTTAATTCGAATTATCTATGCTGTTGTTCAATGCGCTGGAAATTTTGCTAAATTTAATTTCGTACATGTAGGCCCTATGCAGTCGTAACAGAGCCAATTATCACAGAGGTCACATTCAAGGGCTTTGTCTTGGTTCCCTATTTCAAAACTGCATTCCACACATAAATCTTTATTCCACAAGAATTCAACATTCAAATGACATATGTATATAATTTACTGGATGTCATTATACCGATTATAGTTTGCAATTAAATAGATGAAACATCTAACATTACGCCGGTATAAATTTAATAAAAAAACAACTGAATTATAAACAAATTTCGCGTAATTTTGGATCATCTCTCGTATTGTGCTTTCCATAAATCACTTTGCTAACATCAATGGCTACGATTAAAACTTATTTTTCCAATGCATTTTTAAAGTATTTTACATATCAAGCACACTGAGTTGTAAGACGGTCGTAAGTGTGCAGGCATATGTTACAAACTGGTTGTCAAAAAAACTGCAACAAAATTATGTCATAGCAACTAGTTTTGCAATAAATTTATTACAAAAATCGTTTTATTGAAAACCTGGTTGCTGCCAAAAAAATGTCGGAAGCCGTAAGCCCGGGACGATTTTTTTGCAGAAACATCCCGAGATATCGCTCCAGCCACTGTTATACCCCGGTTACTTACGAGTTTCTGTTTTATCGCAATATCAATATTTTTCTTTTATTACAGAAATCACTTAAGTTTCAAATGGAAACCCCAGATAAAAATACCAGATACAGTGTGGCAATACCACGTGGCATTGACGTCATTTTCGGCATAATTTCCAAGACAAATGTTGCTCGATTCGGAAAAGAAAATAGCCGTAAATATTTTATTTCTGTCAATTCTGGCACCAGTTCCAAGTCGAAAAAAAGGACTACAGTTTAAAGCAGATTTTAGAATCCGTTGCAAATGCGAAGCAACATGCCTACCGTTGCTAAAGTGCAATGCTAAAATATGATAAAGTGATGTGACAGTAGCTAAAAGTGTGTTAAAATAATGACTGTTAATGAGCTGGAAATCCCTTGTGTATATAATGTATATAATGTGTACTTGTATATTAAATAGCATTAAGAAACTTTTGTTTATAGTTATACATGGAATGTAATCAATTATCAATCAATTACTTTCTTAAAGTAATTGTAATTTAATTGATTACAGAAGCAAGTCTAAGTAATCAATTGTAATCAATTGCAATAAAATCTGAAAGTAATTGTAATTAAATCAAATACTGATCAATGTAATCATCCCCAGGTCTGACCCCATGCCCCCTTTGACCATATGCCCCTTTGAATCTCCGTAAAAATCTCAACCGATATATAGCAGGTGCAAAAAAAAACCCTCAATCAATCGAGCTTTTTCCTATATGAATCAAGTGAAAAAACTGTACTGTAATATATCAGAACAGTTTTCAAATCCTAGATAGAAGAAGTGTAAGAAAAGCTCAGAGCCCTGCGATAATAATTTGACAGTGCACCATCCACACATTTGCGACCGTAGAGCTTGCAACACAGTGAAGCAAGAATAACTAAATTACTGAACTAATGTTGGATACTAGTTCGTTTCATTTTTATCATTTATCAATCAAAGTTCATGCCGAATCGACCATATTTGTTTTCTGAATTATCCCTTTTGACTATGCCCTCTTTATTATCTAATTGTACAGTGTTTACTTTTATTATCACTATCAGGTTGAATCTGATATAAAATTACTAACCATCATGTATTCAAAAGCTGAAGATATTTGACTTTTAGGTTGTGAATATGTCTCTCATTGGTGTATCTTTATATCTAAGTGTTTTGTTTTCAGTTTGTTACGGATTTATTTTTAACCATATAACTACCAAAACACGTAAGCAACAATTTAGTTTACTTGATAAACATTCTACATGCCTTAATGTTCAGAAAACGAATACATTTTTACTTCTTTTGAAATAGCACATATGAGTTTTAGAAAATATAAACGATGGTTGTATAGCATGTTAAATGCTTGTTACCTGAAGAAAATACAGTTAAATGTATGTAAATGTGAAATAATTTGTCATCCGGACAAAGTAGTATTTGCATGCCTTCCATGCAAAATCACTATATAAATGTATTAATTGCTAAAAGCAACAGAAGGAAAAGATGATTGGGGTAGTTGGGCTATGAGTTACTTTTTGCATGGAATTTATAAAAAATACATGAAAAAGCTTTTGAGAAATAAGATTAAAATCATTTCTGGGGCATAATGACCCTTTGATGTTTGTGATAAAAAGTGAATTAAAATGTGGCATTTTCCGGTTTTAAGAGAAAACTTAATTAAAATACAATTAAGACGATTCTTTTTATTCATCAGTTATATAGTATAACGATGTTCTTAAGTGTTTCTGTTGATTGTTTGAATGAAGTCATATTCAGTTTGGTGCAATTATTTACTTGTTTTCCTTTGCTTTGTTTTTATTTGTTTTTTATTTATTATTTTATCAAAAAATGAATCAGTCTATAGGTTCATTTGTACTTACTTACTTACTGTAGCAGCAACGAATACCCATAGTGGAGCAATGAACTCTTTACTTAACAGTACAAAAGAGTTAGATATATCTATAGAAATAATGTTCAATTTGTTCGATGTTTATGTTTTATCTATTTTGAATTATAGTTGTGAAGTATGGGGCTTTAACAAATCAGAAAATATCAAACGTGAGCAAAGAAAATTTTGTAAATGGTTATAAATATTAAAATGTCAACAACTACTCTATTCTGAACTAGGTACATTTCCTCTGTATATTGAAAGATATGTAAGAATAGCAAAATATTGTTGCATAATTATATAAGAGTCAAAACTGCATTTTAACAACTATTCTAAGTTCTCAAAGAAATGATCTATCAAATAACTCAAATGTTGTCAATTGGATATCAAAAGTTCGAGACATTTTTAAAAAGGCCGAAGTTTGATTATTTCCAGAATCGATTAATATTAAAAATTGTATACCAGTATTCAGATCACGTCTCGGAGATATATATTATGTAACCCAATGGCGAGCTGACATGGCGTTATGCTCTTCCTTGCAATTGTATTAAATATTAAAGTTAAATATTAAAGGTCTATTTATCTTAATTTATTAGAAAATGCAAAACACAGATCAGTACTTGCAAAAATAAGATTCACGTTTCCATAAACTACATATTGAATATGGAAGACACATGGGGTATTGGAAGAAGTCAGAGAAAATGCGCATTATGTATGTCCGGGGATACAGGGGACGAATTTCATTTTATATTAATATGTTTAATTTATAGCGATTTTAAAAGTATGTACATTTCAAGATACTTTACTGAAAATCCTAAAGTTTACAATTGCAATTACAATTGTTAAACGCAGAAAGAAAATTGGTTATTAGAAAATTAGCAATATTTTGTATTTAAGCGTTTGAAAGACGAGACAATTTGGTACATTAGCATATCAATATGATATTATTAATGTAGAAATCTATATTTTGATATTCTCAATCAACTTGTTTTAACTATGTCATGTTTTGCATGTAGTTTATATATGTGAATATAATATTGAATCTATTATGACATTATTTCTTGATACGTGCATTGTAATATATATACATGTATATGTATGTTATGATGAGTATATGTTCTGTTCTGTTCTATTATTAATATTTTGAACAGTTCGAAGAGACAGAAATTACCATTTACATAAAAACAGTAGAGAACCTAATTATCTTTCTCGAAGTTTTCACTCTATATTCCATTGTCATAGTCTATTATACGTGAACCTCCCAAATAAAACGAGTTTTCTTATTGAACTGGATAAATCAAACCGCTAAGGCAGAAGAACCCATTGTTGATCACTGATATAAATATCTACAAAAACAAATGTCGATAGATTCAAATAATGCAGTGTGGACGACTGTAATATCCAACTTATATATCACCTCTCCCCAAATAAAGCACGGTACATCATGTTTTCAAGGCAAAGTTATGTTGCAATTGTGTAACATTTAAAAAATACCAATAGCCCATTTTATTTAAGGGAACGTGTAAAACAGTTATTCATAAAAACGTTCTATTATACGAGTATATTAAGTTATGTTGAGAAAATCAGTTTTTTTCTTTGCCAGGTAACGACTTTGATCCAGTAAAGGCCGAGGCAGGTAAGGAATTTGTGCGCAGATTGTAATGCACGCCTAGATATTTATATAGCACATCACACGGGAAATATATAATATAACTTTAGTTTTCTTAATTAAATACTGATTATTCGATTTACGCTATTGTACTCGTTAAGTAAAATTAAACTTAAATGTTAACCGAGTGTGCATTTTCTTTATAATACATTAATCAGCTGATTAAAGATGCATTTATTCACACAGTTTCACGCATACATATGATCTCATTTTACTTGTTGTAACTAAGTATATATGTACTACGGTGTAAGTATGTAACTGTTATCGAAGTCGAGTTGTAACAGGAAGAGGGTAGTGAATTTAAGACATTAGATAACAGCTATAAATTCTATATATAGTAACATTAAAACCAGTGTTCTACATTTATATTTGGTTTGGTTTCAAACATGGATTATAAAAACATATCTGGTATTTGTTTATGTACATATAATTATATTAATTGATACAGAAGTGAACATTGTTTTATGAAGAAACGCTGTAAAATTGATAAAGGGGCGTGTTTTCGGACATCTTGCGTCCGTTTATAGGAGCTAGGGAATAAGTAAGATATCGATATGTTATTAATGAAGTTGTTTATTTTTGTCACACCTATTTTGTATTTATGAAGTTACTAATATAAGTCTGTATATTAATGGTATACATGTATTTATAGTTTTAGATCATGTCAACACCACACAGTCTACAGAGCTGCCAGGTAACGACTTTGATCCGGTAAAGGCTGAGGCAGGTAAGGGATTTGTGCGGACTTTCAAATATTGCTGTAACCCATTTACGATGCTAGCTAATTTGGCCTCTTTCCTGTTATTTCACAGTCGTGAAAAAAAGGTTTATGACATGACGGGACTGAATATAATTTTTCAATTTGATGTAGATCTAGACCAATAACTCGTGTTCAAAATTTCATATCGTTCTCTCACTCCGTTTTTTTCCAGAATATTATATTTGAAAGTGCAAAATGACCCGAAATTGAAAAGCGTTTTTTTTTTCCAATCAACGCTTTTTACTTGAATCGAGCTAAGGAGCGCACAAAATACGCCTTTTTTGAATTTATTTCTATCTATCTTTTACATATATTTCTGTTTTAAGTGCCCTAGCTGATATTAGAAATGAAACTTTTGTGTTTTAGGCTTTTGTACCTCAGTGGAGTTCCTTTAATGCTTTGTCAAATCTTGTAACATATGAAATTTCCCCGAATACTGTTTTTTTTTCTTATATGGTTACAATGCGATTATTATACATTGTTGAGTTCAATACTGATTCGATTGGACGAGTACACAATTGTCAAATTTATATTGGACGAGACGCTAGCCGAGTCGGGTATAGGTTGTGTAGCTGTGTACGAGTCCAATAGAACCAGTATTGTTACTCAACAATGTATAATGACCTCTTTATTGCATATTTTTTGACATTTTGACAGAACTTTGTTACTTAAAGTAAGATTTTAAGGAATTGATATGAATTTTGGGACCTTAATATGAAAAGGAGGCTAGATGGAGCATTTGATATAGATGTTTTGGATAACTGTATGGGATACGATATGCATTTAGACGCTAAAATGAAAACGAAGCTATAAAATTATGAAGTGTGATATGCATTTGATATGGGTGTTTTGGACTCTGGAAATACAATGTATACATTAAAGAGGCAAAATTTAACGAAGTTGCTTCTCCTGTTTCCCATTGTGTACAGGTATCCTATTTGACTGGTATGCTAATGTGAAATTGTATATACATGTATCTTACATCATGTTTGCTTAGTCTTCTAATGTTTCCTTAGTCTTCTTATTGAAAAAAATGTACAATATATAGAACTTTCCACATTTTATCCTCCCTATTTAACAGTGAGGATAAAGTATAAGAAGGTGACAACCAATGAGTCCGATAAAATGACTATTAACTATTACGTCGAATACTTGTTAAACAATACTCATTAAACAAATAACAATCGAAAGTGCTGATTTTGTATTTTCTGGTAAGTTTACTTATTTATTTACAGGTGCAATAGCAGGTGCAGTGTTTGGAGTTCTTATTTCAATAGGCTTCATAACATTTGCATGTGTCATGTATATAAGGAAGAAAAGGTTCGTATTGCTAGCTACCTTTGTTTGTCGCCATATGTCTCATTTACAAGCACATTCTCTTTACTGCATGGTATTATCGCAAATAATCCAATTAAGATTAGCAATCACAAAGTTTACCACTGCAAGTAACAATGCTGCACAACTATTTGAAACACCAATAACCATGTTGATATGTCTATCAAAACGCTATTTAAATGTTTGCTGACGTGATAGATGAAATCTTGTCTGGATAACTTTTATCATTGAGAAATAAATTTCAAACACAGAGATCTATTTTGTAAAATAAAAGGAGATTGAACTAACGAACCCATCATGTTGTTTCGAAATGTACAAAGAATCTTGGATAAATGAGTACATGACAATGGATGTTAGTTGATTGTACCTTAAATTACTATTTATTACCTATCGTAAACACATGTATACTGTTTTTCTAAAATAAATAAAACAAGAATATAAATGGGTTAGATTAGTTAACTTATTGTACATGATAAGTAATGCATTCTTTGTATTCCAGAGAACGAGATCTCGAGTATACACGTAGAACAAAAGTACTCATGCAATCTTCACAGAGCGCAGGGGTCTATGTCGACACAACACAAGAATTAAGTCGAACTAAAAACATAAACAATCGTGGTAGTGAATATAAATCTCTACAAAAAGATCCAAATATGTATGAAAGTGATTCCGAGGATGAATTGTGATCTTCAAGATTATGTTAAACATGAGATGTGGAAAGGACTGTTGGCAATCTGTGGACAAAATCATGGTGATTAATCCAGCAATGTGATATATATTGTGTCATTTTCTAGTTATATACTTAATTAAACAATAAGTAGTACAAAGGGCATAATATGTAGTAATAAAAATTGTGGTGGGTTAAAAATACTAGAAATTAAAATAAGATCTTTCTTGTAACATTGCAACCCTTATTCTTTTTAATATGTCTATATGTAAAGAACATTCTTCATAATGACTCTAGAAAGTGCGAACGTTTTTTCGGTGTTATACACATAAAACTGTTATAAAGGAATTATACATATGCGCAAAATGATTTAAGAAATAAAAATATATTTATACAAAAGTTTACATAGAGATGTATAACGCTTGGCCATCAATCTTTTTGCTGGACTAAATTTAAAAAAAATTCAAAGATACTTTCTTTCCTCAGTTGAGCTTTGTTTTAATAATAGGGTTTTATTTATTGCTTCCAATATAGAGATAGTATTTCATTATATTAACCATCAAAATATTTCCTGTTTTAACTCTTATTCAGTTACTATATGTTCCTTCATATACTAGATCTATATTTTCACATTTTAATATAATCTGCGACCTGTATCGAAGCTTTGTAATTTATTGATATTTAGGCGGAATATGTAGAACTTAAACAATTAATACAACTGTAAATAATATGTTTTACCATGAATTAATTACTGCAACATAAAGAAAAATTTATAAGTTCACTGTCAGGTGAACATTGAGAGCATTTATTCTTTGTACATGTTACATTAATTCAAACCTTTTTTCATTTTAAAGGAAAAAACGTGGTTTTTACATTATACTTTGAAAGTACAAGTAGTATCAAAATGGTAATAATTAATAATCAATTTTTAATATATTATAGTCTTTGATTGAAAGATAAATTCATTTCCATAGTTCATGTATGACATAATCTTAAAGACAACAAATCATTTAATGGGAACTTGTGTTAACATGTAACACAATTAGATATATTTGGGGAAAACAAGATGTCACAATCACTTACATGAAAACGATTGTGAGTTATAATTGTTGATAGAATTTATACTTTTAAATATTTGTTTTTTCTTAGTGCATAATAAACAAAATTGAAGAATGAAAATGTGATCATGTAAATATTCTACACTCAGTTGAACAATATTTACCTAAAATAATGTTAATTAATTGGAATAATAAGAACTTTGACAAAGACTGATACATTAATGTAGAAGTAGGCTATTAACTTGGGTAAGAAGTACTCTGGTGTTACCTTACTAAAATAGTCTCTCTATAGTGATAATTTTACACTCAAATATCTTATTCTTCATTGTACATTGTACAAGCTGGCACTTACATCTTACTGCAACATATTTGTATCTTTTTTGAAAATATTGGAGAGAAATTGACATAGACTAAGTATGTTTTACTTGTTTTCCAATCCAATCTGAATTTCTTTGTTGTGCAATATTTTAAAATGTTGTTTATGTAAAATTTATTGAATCTAAGGACTCGCGTTATATTAATGTATGCACAAATATCATACACTAAGCTAGTCAGAATTATTATATTTTATGTGTGACAGTGAAGTAGTTTGGTATCTTGATATCAACATTTTGTACTTATGTTTGTCAATAAAATCTCTGTATCAATGAGATAATTCATATAATACATATATATATTATGTTTAATATCTTGTTCAAATGTTGATGCCTTCTCGCAATACATATGTCATGAAATACATTTTTACATACATCAATTTGTTATTTATTATTAATTGGTGTATAGCTACTTAATGGAACTTGAAGACATATTGATGAATCATCTTAATATTACACCTCAAAATAAAGTTATTATTATTAATCACAAAATCTGTGAGTGCATGAAATATATATTCCATTTTAAAACGATTTTCAACATTCACATTTGTATTTTTCTCAAACTATTTACACGGGAGGGGGGGGGATCACGTGACTTTGTATAGTAATACCCACGAGAAAATGGCTACTGCTGAGCCCCGGTAAGTACCTTATTATGTTAAATTAAGGTGACAAACATTTCTTTAATCAAAACAAAGCCTAGCGTATCATATGCGCGGTAATTTTCTTCAAATGACAATACAAAGTGCATTATCCTACGTTTTGTGGTTTTTGAGAACATTGTTTGAATTGTGTCAAAATTGCACATTCAGCGATAGTAATTCGCACGAAGCGATATAACTTGGTACCAAAATAAATGAAAATAAGCCTTCTTTTTGCACTTAAGACACCAAATCAATCATTTTATTGACATCTGTTATCGTAGAAGTCCATAAAAAAATATTTTTGAAGGTATGTAGCCTACAAATGTTCTTTGCAAGTGTTTAGTAAGTAAAACGAACAATTTCTGGATAGTAAGTTGCACGAAAACAAAATAGTAAGTTTCACGCACAGTTTCCCTTAGCATACATATACATTAAAAGAAAGTTAAAGTTCATATGTAAAGAGATAGAAAATACTTATTTCAATTATTCAAGATCAAATATTTTACTTTTTGTCTATAGGATGAATGCTTAATTGGTTGTTTTTCTAATATATCAAATGAACTTTTGATGGGATTTAATATTACACGGCTCAGTGTTATTTTTCTGTTGCGATAGTAGTTCTTTGACCTCTGCAGTGTCAGGTGTGTCTTGGCCCTCATTTAACTGTAATTATAAAAAAAGATGAACAAATATAATTACTTGTTATTTGGTATGGTGATGTTTATAAATTGAACGCTTATGTTTTTTATATGGCGGTATTTGTTACATTTAGTCACTATGTTACTTAATTTTATGAAAATATATTTAAGAATTCGCAAGAACAAAATAACTTCTTACAAAAAAAAAAAAAAAAAAAAAAAAAAAAAAAAAAAAAATACAATGATACAGTGATTCAAGTTATGATAAAAGGCACATTGTGCCTCAGAAATCCATATCGTTTTAATTCTTTAGAAATGTCAAACACGTGTTTGATAATGTTCAAATAATGGATGAAACGCATAATAGTATTTTATTACAATTGAAAAAGGTAGCACTGAGCATTAAGTGATGTGTCGTAAAGGTAGCAAAATGTAAACAAAGTAGTATTTTGACTTTTTTGACTTCCATACAAAATGCTTATTCACTAAAGGTATACCAATTGCCAACAGAACCAAAGATGCAAAAGATAGTTTGAGTATCTAGCAAATGAGTATGTTTTCGGAAACTGTAACAAGATACCAAAAATAAACAGTTTTTTAAAAATAAAAATGATAGCATTTCAGAGGCATAATGGACCTTTAAAGAAAAACGAATATTTGAAATCAAACGGTCAAAGATATTTATACTTTTTAAAGTGAAGGCAAGTGGAGTAAACACCTGAGTTAAAGCACTGACGTTTTCTTAGCTAGTTTGATGAAAGAATCCATAGCAGTGAGAAGCATGTGTATAAAAATCAGGGACTTTAACCACTCGGTCATGGACGCCCGGAATATCTTATTTACTTATTCTATCACAAACAAAAAGTAAGAGTTTACGAGGCAACACATTTGCAGATGGTAAGAAAATAAGCGAATAGTAATACATAAAGTTTTAACAAACTTTCTTAGGTTTATTTATAAAATCTGCCAGTGTATAAAGGAATGAATTTAATAAAAACTTTGTATACCAGTTCTATGATGGCATTAAATATCAATGTGATATAGCGAATTCCTTCTCCTTTGCGTTTTTGGTCCAAATTGCAGATACTGAAAAGTAAATGATGGTGTTGTAAAATTTCCTTCTGCACAGTTATTATTTTATATATCTTGTTTTACAGATAACGGATGTGGGTCCAGTCTTATGTGAAAAAGGGCCAAGTGTAACGTACATTGTTGAGTATCAATGTCAATGTCTCATTTATTTTTTTTTAAATTAAGTAATCTTTTATGAAATTATATGAATATATGAATACATGTATTATGAAATAATATGAAATATAATTAAAATACTTTCTCGATATTTGTTTCTCTGTCACCGTAGACGGAATATACTTGCAAATTGCAGAGACATAGGTTACAGAGATAGGCAACTTCCTAGCTAGTTAAAATATCACGCGTGCCTGCTGTAGCAAATAAAACTTATTAACCAAATATCAAAAGCAGTAAAATAATATATTTTCTGAGAGCTTATGCATTTGTTTATGGCTGCAGGTAAAAATATTTACAGTTCCCATTTTCTAAGTGAAAGGCATGGAAAGTTACCAATATTTTAACATGCAGCAATAGATAAAAGATTTACGTTTCAAATGGTATAAAATATTAAAGGATCAAATGTACATCCATTAAGTTTTATTTGCTACAAAATGCCCAATTTTTCACTTTTTGATAAGCATGAGTGATATTTCAATGGAGTAATAGGAGCTGCTTATCTCTGTTATCTATGTCTCTGCAAATTGGTAACAAAAAGAATTATAAGATAGTTTCGTCACATTTTAGTAAGCTATTGGAAACTGTGCGTGAAACTTACTATTTTGTTTTCGTGCAACTTACTATCCAGAAATTGTTCGTTTTACTTACTAAACACTTGCAAAGAACATTTGTAGGATACAGACCTTCGAACAAAATTTTATATGGAATCCTACAAGAAAAGATGTCAATAAAATGATTGATTTGGTGTCTTAAGTGCAAAAAGAAGGCTTATTTTCATTTATTTTGGTACCAAGTTATATCGCTTCGTGCGAATTACTATCGCTGAATGTGCAATTTTGACACAATTCAAACAATGTTCTCAAAAACCACAAAACGTAGGATAATGCACTTTGTATTGTCATTTGAAGACAAGATTGCATTTGAGAAAAATGCTATGCCACCGCATTAATACAACACTAAATAGTAGTGTAGGAACCGATTTTTTTTGTTTCTATTCAATTTTGTAGATTGTCATAATGCATAGATCCCTGACCTATCTAATTCTTATCAGATTAGTGGTTAAATCTGTTGTTAACTCAATAAAAGATCAGAGTAGGAATATATCAATGCACTCAAGTCTAGTGAATTTGGTGGTGAAGGTCATATTTCAAACAGCCTAAATTTCATGACTACATCAAAGGACAACACAGTAAGACACTTTGTCAAAATCTAGGTCAGCTGATATCAAAGTTCACTTTACATCTTAATCTGTGCACATGGTTCAAATTTCATAGCTGTACATCAAAGGACAAGAAGGTAGGTCACATCATCAAAATCTAGGTCACCTGATATCAAAATTCAATTTTACAACTAAAACTGTGCACATGGTCAAAATTTCATTGCTGTACATCAAAGGACAAGAAAGTAGGTCACTGTCCCCTTGGGCAAGGCAAAATTTTGGACCCAAGGGTTTAATTCAAAACAATCTTGATACAGGTCCACCAAACAACATTTCAAGTCAAATATCTAAGCTGTAGCTTTCTCCCATTCAGAAAACATTTGTTTTATTTTCTGTTTTTACTATGTGTACATAATGAGAATCACTGCCCCCGGGCACGGCCAATTTTAACACCAGGGGAAAAATTTGAACAACTTTGGTAGAGGACCTATAGATGATATATATAATATAGCAAACATCAAAGCTCTATGCCTTGTACCTTCAGACAAAAATATTTTTTTTTTTTTACTATATGTACATAATGAAAATTAATGACCCCCGGGGCAGAACCAATTTTGACCCCAGGGCTATAATTTGAACAATCTTGGTAAAGGTTCACTTCGCAAAGTCTCATGCCATATATTTAACCTCTAGCCTTTGTCAATTCAGAGAAGAGGATTTTTCAATTCTGAGAAGAGGATTTTTCAAGTTTTTACTTTATACATATAAGGAAAACTATCGCCTCTGGGGCAGTGCAATTTTAACACTAGGGGCATTATTAAAACAACTTTAGTAAAGGACCAATAGATAATACTATATACCAAATATCAAAGCTCTAAGCCTTGTACCTTAAGACAAGAAGATTTTTTAATTTTTTACTATATGTACATAGTGAAAATCAATGACCCCTGGGGATGGGGAAAATTTTGACCAGTTTTTACAATCCTGCTAGAGGTTCACTACATAATGTTTCATGCAAAATATCTTAACTCTAGCCTTTGTAAATCTAGAGAAGATGATTTTTTTAAGTTTTTACTATATACATATAAGGAAAACCTATGGCCCCTGGGGCGGGGCTAATTTTGACACTAGAGGCAAAATTTGAACAACTTTGGTAGAGTACCTATAGATGATATCATTTAACAAATATTAAAGCTCTAAGCCTTGTACCTTCAGACAATAAGATTTTTTTTTATTTACTATATGTATATATTGAAAATCAATGACCCCCGGGGCGGGGGCAATTTTGACCCCAGGGCTATAATTTGAGCAATCTTGCTAGAAGTTCACTTCACAATGTTTCATGCCAAATATCTAACCTCTAGCATTTGTCAATTGCTAGAAGAAATTGTTTTAAAGTTTTTACTATAAGTTTTTACTATATACATTTTAGGAAAACCAATGACCTCCGGGGCGGGGCCTATTTTGATCCCAGGCCTATAATTTGAACAATCTGGGTAGAGGTCTACCAGACAATGCCTTATGCAAAATATCTAAGCTCTAGGCTTTTGAGTCTTTACAAGAAGGTATTTTAAGTTTTTACTATATGTACATATAGTGAAAATCAAAGACCCCCGGGGCGGGGCCGATTTTGACCCCAGGGCTATAATTTGAACAATCTTGGTAAGGGTCTACCAGACAATGCCTTATGCAAAATATCTAAGCTCTAGGCCTTTTGGGTCTTTACAAGAAAGTATTTTAAGTTTTTACTATATCTATATATAGTGAAAATCAATGACCCCCGGGGCGGGGCCGATTTTGACCCCAGGGCTATAATTTGAACAATCTTGGTAGAGGTCTACCAGACAATGCCTTATGCAAAATATCTAAGCTCTAGGCCTTTTGGGTCTTTACAAGAAGATTTTTTTAATTTATTCTTATAATTCCTTTTGGTTGCCATGGCAACCAGATTTCTGCATGGAATGAAATTCTTTGAACAACTTTGGAAGCGCTTCACCCAAGGATCAATCCTGCCAAGTTTGGTTGAAATTGGACTAGTGGTTTTTCACAAGAAGATTTTTTAAGTTCACTATATAATCTATATAACACACACACACACAAACAAACAAACAAACACACACACACACGCACACACACACAGGTGAATCGCTATATGCCACCGCATCGCAGATGCTGCGGTGGCATAAAAATTACCGCGCATATGATACGCTAGGCTTTATTTTGATTTAAGAAACGTTTGCTACCTTAATTTAACATAATAAGGTACTTACCGGGGCTCAGCAGTAGCCATTTTCTCGTGGGTATTACTATACAAGGTCACGTGATTCCCCCCCCCCCCCGTGTGAAAGTAAAATATGTCAACATATTTTCTTTGAATGAATAGCAAAATTTCTGCAACATTTGTATGTTTATATGGATGAAAATATAGCTAAAACCTTTCATTGTTTCTACAAGAAAAATGGGGGGGGGTTAAAATGTCCTAAATCAGTTTTAATTTTGAAAGGGAAAAACATTTTATCATCCTTTTCTTTTTTAAGGTTTAAATTTTTTTAATGTTTAAAAACATAAGCATCACAAAGGCAGGACTATATACATCTGAATGAAAGTTTGAGTAATCAATATACAAATTTTGTAATCTTTAAATGTGGGAAGAGAACCATTCATGAAACTTGTTAGTGTGACCTTGACCAGAGGAAGGTCAAACCTGCATTCTCTCACATAATCTCATTATATTTCTCAATATTTCTGCTAAGTAGGTTTCAATTTCCTTCCCCTAGTTCAAAACAAGAGGGCCATGATGGCCCTGAAATCGCTTACCTGTATATAGGCCCCCGGGGCGGGGCCAATTTTAACCAAGGGGCTTTTATTTGAACAAACCTAGTAGACACCCATTTGAACATGTTTCATGATAAATATCTAAGCTCTAGATCTAAAAAGATTTTTTAAGTTTTTACTATACACATATAGGGAAAAACAATGCCCCCCCCCCCCTCTGGGCGGGCCAATTTTGTCCCCAAGGGCTTTTATTGAACAAACTTGGTAGACACTCACTTGCAGATAATTCATGCTTAATATCTAAACTCTAGCTCTTTGGATTTTTAACAGAAGATTTTTTAAGTTTTTACTATATACATATAAGGAAAATCAATGATCCCCGGGGCGGGGCCAATTTTAACCCCAGGGCCCTTATTTGAACAAAAATGGTAGACACCCATTAGAAGATGTTTCATGCTAAATATCTTAGCTCTAGCTCTAAAGGTTTTTTAAAAGAAGATTTTTTAAGTTTTTACTATATACATAAAGGGAAAAACAATGACCCCCTGGGGTGGGGCCAATTTTGACCCCAGGGCTTTTATTTGAACAAACTTGGTAGACACCCACTAGAAGATGTTTCATGCTTAATAGCTAAGCTCTAGCTATTTGGGTTTTTTAAAAGAAGATTTTTTAAGTTTTTACTATATACAAATAAGGAAAATCAATGACCCCCGGGCGGGGCCAATTTTGACCCCAGGGCATTTATTTGAACAAACTTGGTAGACACTGACTAGATGATGTTTTATGCCAAATATTTAAGCTCTAGCTCTTACGGTTTTCTAAAAGAAGATATTTTAAGTTTTTTCTTTCGGTTGCCATGGCTACCAAAGGAACATTCCTGTGAAGTTTGGATGAAATTGGCTTAGTGATTTATGAGGAGATGTTGTTTAAAGTAAAAGATTACGGCCGGACGTCGGACGAAAAGCGATCACAAAAGCTTTGTGACAGGTGAGCTAAAAATAGACAGCTGTCACAAAATTATTACCACATGAAAGGCAAAGTTCATTACATTACATGTATATGCAAAAATATTTACAGGTATATATACCAGTAAACACATCAAATCAAAATTTCAACTTGCACTGTCTTTACTGACCTGAACATTTGGAAAATGAACAATTTTTTTTTACATTTTTTATTGCTTTATTTAATTCACTAAAATAGTTTTTGCCACATTATTTATAACAAATTTTCCAATTCTGTTTTGTCAATATTACTTTTTAACCACATATAATATTATATCTATCGTTATACTGCAGATTTGTTTTCCCCAATAATATCAACAATAAACCAAATTACAATTTAATTAAATATCCCCATATTTCAGCTGTAACATAATTTAAGTATGTAAGGTTATATGTGAAAAATCCTGCAATAAACAAAAGATAATCATAAAATTCAATTAAATAGAGAGACACTTGCCCTCAGATTATATTCTAAATTACCAGTCTATACAACATCTGGAACATCTTTTATCTTATGCATACAAAAATAACTACCGGTATCTATAAATCACATGTTGACACACCCACCCCCATCACACATATTATAATTGTGAGGGGGTTAAATGGTTTGTGGTGGTATGTCTGTTAGTCTGACCACCTGAATGTCTGTGTGAGCTTCTCAAAAACCTCTGAACTATTTTTGATAACATTTGACAGGAGTAAAAGTGTTTGACTAATAACTGACCTTGGCCATTAAGGTTGTTTTCTTGATTTCTGCTGAAACAGACCATAACATTTTCTTATTTGGCTGTAATTTAAAGTGTCTTCATACAGGAAGATACTTCAATATATCAAACTTAACTTAACCTTCATAAAAGCTTGACCTTAATCGTAACATTAATGATTTTTGCTAAAATTGACCATACATTTGTTACTTGTCGGTCAATTTAATTCATAAAACACTTAGCATAAAAACCTTCATGCTAATTAAGCAATATATGAATGACCTTAACTTGAAAATGACCTTGACCTTTGAGTCATATTATTGAATTTTCAATACAAACATGTAGTTTTCTTTTTATTGGATGTATTTATTTATTTTTAGACACAAAAATCTTTTAGAAAAATACCTTCAAGTAGGTCTTACAAAATTATATTACCAATAATTATCTCAAAGCAACCACAATTTTTATAAAGATCAAAATGTTTGAACAATTTTTGAAAGGGGTACCTGAGAATCACAAGTGTGAAGTGACATAAAGTAAGACCAATTCTGAGACCATATTTACATGTTTTGCCGAAAAAGTTCAAAATCAAAAGTTTAGAAAAATAAAATATGCCACAATAAACATCAGATTTTGTACAACCTTTATAAAACATATCTAAATACATCAATAAAGTAATCAAAAATCAACAATTCTTTTATCAAAAATCAACAATTCTTTTATTATGAAAACATTTAAATTTTTCTACCCTCTTACAGAAATGATCACAATGTGGATAAAATTGATATCAACATCCTTTATATACCCATACACAACAGCCACACATTTTCATCTTTTTGTCAAAAACATTATGTTGTTTTATCAGAATTTGTAAGATATCTCTAAAATTAATTATCCACAAGTACAAAAAAAAATAATATTCAAAGTGACATAATGCCCATCTAAGGGTATATAGTGATTGAACTGGTAAAAGTCAAAATAAGTTTACATTTTTCCATAATTCCTTTAAATTCAATAATTTACTTGGCAAGAATGATAAATAACTCACATGATCAAAGAAAATTTCTGTAAATATCCATAGGAATTTACCTGTAATGTTCAATTTATAAAAAGTGTATTTTTTTTATAACTTTGACAGATTTATATTTCATCCTTATTATTTTTCAGTATCAACTGTTACATATCACCAATTCAGCTCAACTGCATAAGAAAGAAAATGAACATAATGGCACCTTAAAGACCAAATATTAATGTATATCCCACAAATTTTGGCAAATTTATTAGTCTATTGCACCATCTTCTGAAGAGCTACTCCAAGCTTCCCCACTCTCCTCATCAGATACAGTTTCGAGGCCACCATTACCATCTGATACAATCTCTCCATCAGATACTTCTCCTTCCTCTGCTTCAACACCAGTGTCTGAATATTGCTCTTCATTTTCGACAGATTTTTCACTCTCTTCAATATCATTTTCATAGTCTACAGATTTTTCACTTTCTTCTATATTACTTTCATTATCTAAATCATCATCATCATGGTTACTACTCACATCATCTTCAGATTCACTTGACTTCTTTGACTTTTTCTTACTCTTTGAATGTTTCCTGTGTTTAGACTTTTTATGTCTCCCTGATTTTTTATGTTTTTTATGACTCTCTGACTGTTCAGAATCACTTCTATGAGAATCAGATCTTTTACTTGAATAAGAACTATCAGATCTTCTATTTCTTGAATGACTTCTAGATCTACTTTTTGAATGTCTGTCTGAGCTGTACCTGTGTGATCTTGATCTGCTCCTAGAGCGCTCTCTAGACTTCCTCCTAGAACCACTTTTGGTACGGTTTCTGGATCTATTTCTAGAGCTACTTCTTGTTCGGCCTCTAGACCTATGTTTAGAGTAACTTCTTGAGCGACTTCTTGAAGAGCTTGAACTATACCTAGAGTATCTTTTAGAATGACTCCTAGATCTGTCTCTTGAACTGCTTGTATCACTGTCCGAATAGTGTCTTCTTTTCTTCTTTTTATATCTATGAGACCTAGACTTTGACCGTGATCTGGATCTTGATTCCGAACTATATCCACGTCTTTTGGATTTTCTTATTAGTTTATGACCATATTCTTTAATAAACTTTTGTAACAGGTATGGATCAATTTCATTAAAGAAACCTGCATAGAAAGGATTTACTGGAGGAAACATGGGAAACCCTCCTCTAAAACCTCTTGGAGGTCTACCTCTAAAGAAAGGTCTACCTCTCATAAATGGCCTACCCCGAAATGGTCCTCTTTGAGGACGCCCTCTAAAATGCTCAAAAGCTGCCAATCTCATCTGTTCTTCCTGCCTGTGCATGTCAGCTGATCTTCTCATTTTAACTTCGTTTCTTGCTCTTTCAGATTCATGTCGCATTTCTGTTTCTTTTCTTTTCCTATCTGCAAGGCGCTTTAATGATTCTTCTTTTCTTTCCCTCTCAGCTTCATCTCTTTTTTCTTCTTCCTCTTTTTCTAATTCTGCTAACCTTTGCAATTCCTCTTCCTCTTCTCTTTGTTTCTGTTTCAGAAATTTCCGTCTGCTTTCTTCCCTATCTAATTTCATTTGCTTAAAATTTCTACTATTTTCCTTTTTATCTATTTGATCAAGAATTCCTGCATCTTTATTCATTTTCATTTCCTCTATATCAGCATACATGCTTCTGGAACTGATTTTTTCCCACAAATCTTTACCATCATGAGGTATTTTTCTGGATTTTTTTCCTTTACCTTTATTCTTTACAGGTTTATCAGTATTATCAGCAGATTCTGTACCTGAATTTAAACATTCTTTATCAGTCTCTTCATCAGTTTCTGGTATAAATATTTTCTCTTTCTTCATTTTCTTTCTACTTTGATAATGTTCTATGGCATTCTCTTCAGTATACTCACTACCTTCACTCTGCCTTGATGTTCCAGCACCATCATTAATTCTTTCATAGTTTTTTCTTTTGTAATCATAGTCTTTATAAGAATGACCTGTTTTATTTTTACCACTGTCATTGAAATTTGAGTGTCTGTGAGATTCTTTTTTGTCTTTTCTGTGAGGACGGTGTGAAGTATGTGTCCTTGGACTGTGCTTCTTTTCATCATTTGGATTTCTTTTATTAGAGGTTTCCTTAAACTCCTCAGCATACTCATCAGCAGAGCCAGTATCTGACCATTTGCTTTTAAACCTGAGAAAAAAATAATAAAAATTAAATTATCAATTCATACTTTTTTCAGTTAAAAGTCCTTGGGAATTTCCCAAACAGTTCAAATTTGACAATAACATTGGTATTTTTGTAAAGTTGACTGTTTATAGAAACAGCACCATTCACAATCCAACAAACCTTTACTTTCTGTTTTGATACACTGAAAAATATTCTGTAACAAGTACGATAAATGCAAGGAATGAATCTTGAAAATTCAAAAAAAATACTTTGACATCCATGTAATTACTTAAATCTGACCTTAAGTGGTGAATGTATCAAGTACTTCAGAATAAATTTTTTTTTAGTAACAGTATTTAAAAAAGGCGACTAAAATCATATAAGTGACAAGTTTTTTTATTGAATACACCTGTCAAGCTGATGATTGCCTGTCTTTGTTAACCATTGTCAATTTGCTGTATAACATAAACACTGTCATATGGCTGTTTTTAATATATTTAACTCTGGGAGTAGAGATTTATATGAACAATTCTGAATTACTTTACTCCACAATATTTATGATGGAAAAATGTATTGATACATTATTAACTGAGTCCTAAAGTATCAATTTTGTTAACTGATATTTGGATGTTCGATAGTGTTTTTGATTAACTGGTTACACTTCGCATCATTATATTTTGGGTATTACTGTTAAGAAAGCAAATTTAATAACATTCTTCTTGTTCTTTCATTATTCTCTATTGTTTATTATTCAATTTTTACATAAGATCATAATATTAGACAACTCTATTACTACATGTATGATGCTGAGATGATATATACATGTACTTATTCAGTGATTAATCTAGAAATTCCTTACAATGCGTCAGATGACGCACATGATTGAAAACAATGAGTCCTGTAGCAAAATCAATGAGTCATGTAGCAAAATAAATGTGTTATAGCAGAATTTTTTTATAAATTTTTTTAATCCTTGACATGATTTGCATGTTTTTATAACAAGGGATTAAGTAATTAAATTAGTGTACAAAAAAGTTATTTTTGGTACTAATATTAATTGCAGGCAAAACATTTTTTATTGGCTGCTCTAATTTGCATAATTTATTTTCTTACTACTTATGTCTAATACTGTGCATTATCAATTTTAATTGTTCGTAATTTGCACAAAATGTCCGTGTCACACTGTATACTGATGACTTAAATTATTGCTCCTTGTATGCCTCTGTGTAGAAAGCATACACAGACAGACCTTTTGATCATGAAAAAAAGTCTTGCACAATGTTTCTCTGATTGGTAAATCACCCTGTCAAATATTCTGATGACGAAATAGACATCTTTTTTTACACTCCATCAGCCAAAGCTTGCGTGAACTTGAGTGACCTTAGGGGAAATCAATTTGCACACCTGTCAGATTATACTGTAACTTACAGCATTTCTTAAAATAGCAACACTTTTTTTTCAGTTACCGATAATTATTTTAAATATTAAGTAGATTTATGATTTTTTGTATGCTTTATTGGATTAAATTTACGGTAGTAGAAATGCGTATCTGTGTGGGAAAGGGATAAGTAGATAACTTGGAAAAATGCTATAGGGAAATGGATAAACTCAAGAATATGCGTAATTACAGGGGAATGGGTAACCTGTTGCTGTTAGTACCAGTTTTGTCTGGATGACAAATTAACATATGATATAAGTCTGACACAGATTTTAGATGCGCCCTTGGTTCTTTGCTGACGATTTTCCTGTGCCATTCTTATTTTTAATAGCGCCAATGGCGCAGGCAGATCTCTGCCTCAACTTCGTTTTATATTTCACCATTGTAGGCGATTCGCTCTCATGTAAAAGGGACGCTCTGATTGGCTAATGCCGATAATAGGCGGTTACCGATCACAAGCAACAATTGCTTGGGATTTAATGTTTTAAGCAAATGGGGGATGAGTCTTGCACCTGTAATCATCGGAAATTAAATTATTCAACTGAAGAAATTGATAAATTATTCAACTGATGAAATTAAAGTAATCAAACGGTACATAGAAATCACTTATCGTGATATTTTGGATTATAAACTACCAGATTTGCATGCGTCAAATTGAACGCACATATTTTGAAACTGTGCGTCTTTTTCAATTTTTAAGCGTATTTTACGCAAGACGCACATCTAGATTAATCACTGCTTATTTACAAGCATTCTTATAATTTTTTTCTTTTTCCATTCACAGCATTTTATACAAGAGGTGGAAAGACTTCGAGACAGCAACCCCATTCTATGATATCATATTCATGAAATTTGAATATTTGTCTTTACAAAATTAGTCAAGGCAAATTCTGTCAAAATCTTGATAGAGTTACTCTCTGTCTAATGTATGTGGTCGTCAATTAACCAACAGCTTGAAATTACTTTCATTAAATAATGGTTAGCCGAGAGACATCTACTGCAAAGTTATACTATCGAATAGTTTGAAATACATATTAACACTTATCATGATGATGTTTGTTTGACTGAGGCTCGTCATATTCTGTGTAAGACTCCTCTGACTCGGATGAACTACCTTTGTGACGTTTCTCTACAAAGTTGCCTTTCATAAAGGAATGTTTCCGATGTGAATCTCTAATATACAAATCTGTACATTTGTCCGAGTAAGCAATTGCATCGAATTCTCCGTAGTCAGGTTCTGGGCCGTCCGGTTCAGGTTCAATGATTTCTTGTCTGTTACCATGGTTACCATAATAATTTCTGGTCCGTGTGTGCCGCTTGTTCATATGATCATTATATTTTCTATTACTTCCAATACTGTGCTTTTTGTCTTCCCTGTAGCCATGTCTAAGTGTGCTTACCAAGGTGTTATTTAGGAAACGTTTATTTGGCAGAGCATCTCGTTTCTTCCTAGAGTACGAAATAAATTAAAACACTTTATCATAGACTGTTAATGGCACAGACAGTTTGTATACGGCAATTATGCAAAAGAATGTTAAAATACACTTATCAATATAATAATAATTACCTTAAATATAATATCAATCTTGTTATAACTTATCCAAATATACATTTTTTTAAGTTTACATAAACATAAACTAAATTGTTCTTTCAAATCGCTTTATAAAGAATAAAAGTGCCAAAAGTGCAACAGGAAAATATCAGTTAAACCATGATGCCTGGTTTAATTATTGCTGATGAACATGTGGTACATCTATAACATAAAAGTCAATGTGGAAGAGATATTTAGCGTAAAGTATTAAATTTAAACTACATATTGTTTTCACACAATGGTTATTATTTCCAAATATGGTGTTGAATTTGTGTAATGAACTTACCTGTCCTTATTTTTAAACAATTTATTGGTACTTTAAGAGAATTCAAAATCAAAACTGAAAACAGCTTGAACATCTCAGATCAGACTGTAAAGTGTACAGATAAGCCTGGCTCTATACTGAATATCTATAAATATTTGTTATACCTGTCTCCAGCATTCATATATATGGTTTTCAATTTTAACTTTTAGTTCTACTTGTAAAACATCTATTATTTAAAAAGATTCAGACAGAAAACGAAAGATTCAGACAGAGAAACTTTATACCATCCAAATGCTCCCAAGTCATTTGCAAGCTCCTTTGATCTTCTCGCTTCTTTCAGAATTTCTTCAACAGCTTGTCTGTGGAAAATAAAGAATTTCTTTATTAAACAAACACTATGAAATATTCCTTATGACTTTAAAATATAGATTGAACTGATTTTTTATATAAAAGAATCTCCATAGCAGTGTAGTCAGTGACATCAGCGCATGGAGTGCCAGACAAAACATTTTGTGGATATTTAAGTGAATATTTGCAATTTATTATTATGTCATGCTTTGATTTAAAATATCAGCTGTTGTAAAAGGTATTGTGTATCGGAATGGCTAAACCAGTTTGCTGAAATTTGATTTTCCACATGTGTAATTAGATAAAATTTGTATCGAGTGTGAGGCGTTGCATTCCTTTCAGTAATTTATTGTAGAGGGGTATATTTGCCGTTATTTTCTAGTTATTTGCTTATATTTTTCAATTATTTATAGAATGTCCTATGCACAAGCGCTTGAAACAAACTTTTTTATGTTCCAAATGGACTATAATAAGATATCTTGATATACATATATCGGCTGATTATGTAAAATATTTGATTATGTGACTAGCGCCTGTGGTTCTAGGTATACTGGTGCCTCATATTTCTGCGGTACCCATATTTCCAAGGTATTAGGCATTAAGTCTAAAGTGCCTCATAGACTTCATGCACCTGCCAGGAGTTTTACTTTCATTTTTTTATTGTATTTTTATTGAAATGTAACATATACAACTTATTATCTTATTCAGAATTTTATTCTTATAACTTTTGTTGTCTGTGTTAAACAGTTAAGTACCACGGAAATATCAGGCACCCATATAGTAGGTAGGACCAATTGAACGAGTAGATTGTGTGCATTCGTGTATCGATATTTAAGCAAGCATTTCAAAGTATATTGTGAACACATATCTGCTATTCAAAGTGTAACAAAAATGAAATACCCTTCTAGCGTAATTTGCTCTCCTTCGCTCATTTTGTAAAATTCTAAATCAACTAAATTTCATTATTCTATGATTTACTAATTTATTTCTACATTTGCACCGTGTCGCAGGGTAGACAGACGTTTCACTATTGAGACGGTTCACACCAAGACGGTTCACACCAAGACGTTTCACTCCCAAATGGGAGTGAAACGTCTTGAAGACGTTTCACTCCCTTTTTATACCAAAATTATTTTGATACTTATGATATGCTAAAATAGACATAAAATATTGGATTGAACTAAAATAGACCCTTAAATTTAATCAATTAAAAATGGGGATTTCACTTTTTTTCAATGGCTTAAAACTCATTACCTTAAGTTCTATCATTTCAGTTATTTTATCTTCTTTATTGTTGTAATGAAATAAGGTGTTTTTCTATTCTTTGATCCATATGTGCAATTATCACATTATTTCACTTAAATAAAAAATATTTTTGATTAAAATAACACTTTAATATAACTAATTATTTGATCTTTTGTAAAAATGGACTCAACAGGCAATATTTAATTTAAAGCATAACAATCTTGTGACAACAATTAACTTTGAGTAACGTGTGTTTTTGTTGTTAATTTTAAACATGATGATGGGATAAAAAATGTTAAATTATTTAATGCTTGTATACTATACAGTAGTGCTTTTGCGATATACATTTATGTAAAAAAATTTAATGTCCATTGAAATCAGAAATATCTTTAAATTAAATTAGAAGCATTGGGACTTTTTCAATATTTGTCATGTATAATCATTTTTTGTGACTAAAATTCATTATTATATAAACAAAACTTATGGAGAAGTTTCTGTGTTTAAATTGGCTGTTGTCAAAAAATAGTTTAATGGTCCAATAAACCACTGATTAGTAAACTGTTGATGCTTAAGTGCAGTGTTTATACAACTGATTTAATAGTGGTGTCAAACTGTAAGTTGATTGTCTCAGTGTTTATACAACTAATTAGGCGATGAGATAACACCAAAATTACTTAAGTTTGTAAAGAACAGAACAGAACAGAACAGAGAACTGTTCTGTTCTGTTCATAAGTTAGTTTATTGGCTACTGTTTAATAAATTAATGAAGAAAATAATTTAAAAAAAATAATATATTTTATACGCATGTTTCGCATATCATTGTTTAAGACTTACAAAAAAATCATTACATGTATATAGTCAATATATTTATTATTATTTAAGATATTGATATTTTTTATTATTTGAATTATATTAGTAACTTTATTGGTAGTGATTTCAATATTTAAACTGATACTTATAAAAAGTCTTTGTTGTTCTGTCTATGTTATTCTATTTTTTTTTTTAATTTACTTTAGTAAATAGAATTTCCTCATGTTGTTACACTTATAATAAAAGTGATATTGAAGAAATTTGTCTTTCATTTACACCTCTTATCACTCAACCCATAATTAAATGAGTAATCTTCTAATAATTTGTATTAACAATACCATTGAAATCAACAAAATGAAACATTAAATTGAATTTCCTTTTTACAATGTTTGATATTAATGAAATTAAAATGTGTCAACTTTCCTAGTAAACATCTAAAAATTGGGAGTGAAACGTCCATACAATTGACAAAATGGGAGTGAAACGTCTAGGTGTGAACCGTCTTGGGAGTGAAACGTCTCAATAGTGAAACGTCTTGGGAGTGAAACGTCTGACATTCGTGTCGCAGAAGGACTATATTCTAAGCCGTGCTGTATTCCGTTTTGAGAAGAGGTTTTGTAGTACCAAATCAAATTCTTCTTTTGTACATTTCACAATAGGTGTCACCCCGGTACGGAATTAGACCCAGCCCGTTGTAGTCTAGAAAGTAGTTCTTTTAAATTTTGAAATGGCCTATTTCATATCATCTTAATTGATACTGGTTATATTTTAAGTATATCTTTAGTAATTATGTACATGAAGTATCATTTCTGAGTACTTTAAAGGTTGTTTTTGATGTATTTTTGCAGGATTTCATTTCTGGGTGGAAGGTTTCATGAGGCACTATGCACAAGAATACACACCAGTTACTATTTGGAATATTCTATAGTGATTACAGAAATCACGGATTTATGTAATATAAATCCGTGCAGAAATTAAAAGCTGCAGAAAAACTCCAAGGGCTAATGTATTATTTTTTTGTGCTAAATTTACTTGGACTGCATTGGTGTTTAAAGAAATGGTCATGAAGTTTAGGTACCGGATTTGTTTTGTCCAGAATTTAGCCTTAAATGTGATGGATTTACTATAGGATATATGGGTCGAAAATTCAGTAGGCCGTGTCCTAAATAATGTCCTAGTTACAACTTTAATTATAGTAAAATATCAACGTGAATAATGATAGCGATAGCCTTGTTGAAGAAGTTTGCGAGTATTAAATATATTTCGTTCATTAAATCGTCCACATGACTGCTCACCCTAGAAAATCTAATGACCAGAGAAATGCATGTATATATCCAATATGATGATGCATGAGGTACATCTCAATATTAATGTAGATATAGTTTACGATATTTCAATCAAAATTATTTCTTTTATCATAGATTTAAGTTACTTCAGTAGTTTAAACGATAAAATGGTTTAAATCCAAGATAAGATGTAATAATGTCTAATGAGTTTCATTTAATTTAATAAAGAAAATGGGAATCACTATAGAAAGTCCAAAACGGGAAAATTGTAAATATTGCAGGCTCGGTTTGACAAGTTCACTTGTCAGTTGAATATATTTTAGTACCCGTTTGTTGAAATTAAGGATTTTTATCCGCATTTTTCACAAGATCACATCCTCATCACGAAATCTGTTTTATACAAAAACATAAATATATAGTTTTATGTAAACAATTCAACAACTGAAATAGTTAAGATAATTCCTTATCAATATATTTTTAATCAAAGCATTTCTGAAATATGATATACATGGAAATAAGCACAGAAATAATAATTATCGGCCTTTCCGTCAAACGGAGCTACCTCACTTGCAGGCCCGGGCGCTAACTATTATTTGGCGCTAGTCGATACAAAAAGCATGTCCAGTTTCATTGATAGCTGAGAATCAATATCTTTGCTGTTACCGTGCCAGTTTTGACGAGATAAGATATAAGTTTACAAAGGGCCATATTTTAGCAATTTCCATGTCAGAGTTTTATGTCTTGGATGAATTTCGTCTTGAATTGTGGCATGCAATTATGATCCCGAAGAAATGTAATTATCTTCACGTGAATACCTTCAGCGTAAATGATCATAAATAGTCAATAATGTTAACAAGCAAGGTTTTACGCACGCGTAAAATGGCTTTGAAGGAATGGTTAGTTGTGCACTGCATACTTTAAGAATAACCAAAAAATTGCTACGTAGACGTGAGTCTGTTTAGATCTGCGCAGTTGTTGAAATTAAAGGGGAGGCATAACGACACGAAAATTTCATTAGGCCACAGATATACATACACTCCATGATTAGGCCTACATCATACTAACGTAAGTAGTACTCGTTTTATACTGTGACATGACGGGTACCCATTAGTCATTGTGCCAGCAATCCGACACCATGTATCTTATTTAAATATAGACAGCGCTAACACGGAGGTTTGTCCTAATGTCTTTAACATTTTTAATTCTATCCCAATTAAACGATATCTAAACTTTTAATAAGCAAATGACCAACAATAAAAATGGGAATTCTTTACGCTCCAAATGGGCCATATTTCTGTCAAAATCCATTCGTAAATGACCATGAATCTTCTATTTTGGAGGATCTTAAAGACAGCATGAAGTTACAACCAAATGTCTTAAATGGTATAATTTTTGAGTGTCAGAATGGATTTAGACAAGGTCGGAGTACAGTAGATCACATTCAATCTTTAACCAGTATTATTGATACTAGAAAGAAACAACGCCTGTCTACTTTTTCTGCCTTTATAGATTTTAAAAAAGGCATTTGACTCAATCATTAGAGAGCTTTATTACACTAGCCTGTCAAGACTTGGTTTTCACGGTCAACTGATAAATGCTGTTTATCAAAATGTACATCATTCTGTCAAACTGAATAACTTTAATGCTGATTGGTTTTATGTTAAAACCGAACTCCTGGTCACCGTTACTATTTAATCTGTGTATTAACAATCTGGCTTTGAAATTGAAAGCCACAGGCAGTGGGGTTGATATTGATGGTGAACACGTATCAGTCCTGTTAATTGACGATGATGTTTTTTTTTTGTATTTATAGGAGAGAGTGAAAATGATGCTCAAACTATGTTCAATGTTCTTCGCAACTGGTGTGTTACAAATTATATGGATGTTAATCCACTAAAATCCAACATTCTTCACTTCCAAAATTCATCTTTAACTTGTTCAGATTATGTGTTTATAAACGGTGATACAACTTTAAACTATGTTACACAGTATAAATATATTGGTCGTGTATTGACCGAACATCTTGATTATTCTATTACCGCTGAAATATGAAAAACAAGATCAACAAGGAAGGGCGGCCTTCAAAGAACGCAACCTCCACACGACGTTCAGAGTCTGTTGCGCAGGTTGCCCATTGAGCATAAAAATGTTTATTGCTTAAACTAAGGCTTTTGGAGGAATCCCTAATAAAGCAAATACAAAAATGTACAGGAGCTACTGTTGTACCAGTAATTACATATACATCGACTGTTTGGGGATGTAATACGTTCTCTTGTATTTATGCTTAGCAGGTAGAGCTGGGCGATAATTTTTGCATGTTGGAAGATATGCTCCAAATGCAGCAGTTTGTAGCAATCGATATTGGTTGGAAGCCTGTAATTTTTGTTTTGTTGGAAAACAGTGTTAGCAAACTAGAGGAGCATCTGCGGATGTTTCTAAATTTAAAATTTAACCATTACCACGTTTAAATGTTGAATTCTGCTTAAGCCGGTGCTAGGGGCGTAGACAGTAGCTTGCACTTTCCAGTACTGTCCATGAACATGCTCAATTAAACCGAGCCTGCAACATTTTCAATTTTGCCGTATTAGACTTTCTTAAGGGATTCTGATTTTCTCTATTTTTAAGTAATATGAATGTAAGCAGGTTAAATAAACAAATATATTTATGGGCAAGTAATATGTAAGGTAGATAAATAGTAAAAATAAGTAGTCATTTGCAAATTCTATAATTCCCTTTAAGGTAATAGATGTAAGAATTGGAATTTCAAAGTATGTATGTTGTTTACGAAGTACTATATGGAACGATTTTGTATGGTTGAAAACCTGTTACAAAAACAAAAGCTGTTTAATACGGTGTTCCGTTTGGACAGCCGTGATTTTTGATTTAGTCTGTTACCGCGATCCACTGTGGTACGATGGTGAAAATGCGATTACACGATGGTACGATGGTGAAAAACACGATGGTACGATGATAAAAACGCGATGGTACGATGGTGAAATCGCGATGGCGCAATAGTACGATGGTAAAAACGCGATGTTACATCGCGTTTTCTCCATCGTACCGTCGTGATTTCACCATCGTACCATCGCGTTTTCACCATCGTACCATCTCACTATCGTGTTTTCACCATCGTACCATTGCGTTTCACCATCATGCCATCGCGTTTTCACCATCGTACCATCGCGCTTTTACGATCGTACCATCGCGTTTTTCACCATTGTACTATCGCGTTTTCACCATCGTGCCATCGCGCTTTCACCGTCGTGCCATCGTATCGTATTTCATATCTAAGGTATCTTGTTACACCAGCATGTTAACACAGGTTCATGACTCGGGTTCAAATTAGCAAGAGTATTTTTTATGTTTAAATAGTATTTTTTAGTCTCCTATAAATCTTATAGATTGGCAATGTGCATACAAATTGTATTTTAAATATATTTTAATTTAGTACATTGATGAGATTCTTAAAAACTAATAAATTTTAAAGACATAACATATGTTTTTTTTAATTATAAGATCTGATAAAACAAGAGGCTAATTTTCTTACACTATTTTCCGAGCAGGCCATGCCAATGGACAAATATGAAAGCTTGATAAGATAAAAGTTTGTAAAATAGAGAAAATAAGAATCTATAAAGAAAGTCCAAAACGGCAAAATTGTAAATGTTGCAGGCTCGTTTTTATTGAGCCATGGACGGTACTGTCAAGTGCAAATTACCGTCCATGCCCCTTAGCACAGACTTAAAGAATTCAACATTTAAACATGAAATGGTAAAATTTTTAATTTAGAAACAGCTGCAGATGTGTTCATACAGCGGTTATCATTATGTAAGACTGTTAACCTATTTGTTTGATTTAATTTATGAGCTAGACTTTTGAGGATATTCAACTGATTTTCTGCCTTTTTACAAATAAATAATGTTTTGGAAATTGAAATTGAATTTTTTACGAACTGCGATAGCTTTAAACAAATGTCTGAGTTTGCTTCCATTTTATGAAAGTGTAACCAATTTACAAGGGAATGGTTTTCTTGTTCTAGAGTGGAAGTCTGTTCTTCAAGGTGTTGTCATCTGCATAATTATATAATGTGCATTTATTTACAAAAAAAAAATCACGAATTAACCAAGATATTAAACAACTTATGGCGAAGGATTGATCTGGGGGCTCCTATACAGCTCACGAGCTTAAAGTGTTTTCTATTCTTATTTGCTGCTGTTTTCTATCTGATAGATAAGATACATAAGAATGCACGAGGTTCCAGAAAACCTATAGGCTTTTAACTTGTCTTTTAACTTTACAGACTGTCAGATTTTTTTCAGAGATGAGTGAAATGACTATTTGCACTAAAATATTTACATGGCTATGACTACAATCTTCAATTAATTAATATATGATATCTTATGCCGTGTTTTTTTCTTTCTCTTTTTTTTCTTGAAATCTTGGTGTGTGTGTGTGTGTGTTATACAAGCCATATTTAATACTTTACAGTCTAAAGGATAATTTATTTATGGTGTTCAACCGCAAATATAGTTATTTTACTGCGCATGCGCAAATGATGTTATTTGCTTCCGGGTCAATCATTAACAACAACAACAACTGAAAATTTTGTTCATTGTAAGTAACATTGAATTCGCTTTATCCATAGAGTATTGGCGTATATGTTTATCATACTATAATTAGGTATTAGAATTTTTTGCGGTTGCATTTTTCGTGTTAAATGTTTTCTTGTTCAGTTATAATTTTTAACTGAGAATATAGTGAACCCCCTTTGTATCGTGCTATTCATTTTATCGTGCTATTCATTTTATCGATCTATTTACAAGTGAAGTCATTCGATTTCTTGCAAAATGCGCCACCTACTGATTGTTTACAGTTACAACAGTGTCACGAAAATATTTCGCATTTGTTTTTGTGGCGTAAAAATGATCAAAAACGTAAGCCATTGTAGATAATAAATCGACTTATAAATAGTGTGTACATTTACTGTCTGTTAAAAGTTCCTTAATTTATTTTAAAGCAGACATCTTTGTTTCTAATTGACTAAAAAATTTAACATAAAGATTGTTCAGACTTCCCAAACTTTGACTAACTGAGCGATTCTCACAATGCATCGATACAATGGCGTGACCTAATTCTTCAACCTGTTTGACATGTCTGTAAATATCTGTATATTCCAAAGCTAAAAACTATATATCAGTGATGTTTGCCATGAAAATATTATGACAAAAGGATCAAAATAAATTATACAAAATAAAGATTCAGGGAGATTTAAATTTTTTAACTGCGGCTTTGATTTATGGGTAAATAGACGGTATGTCTTAATACCAAATATGAGTGATATCCGCGGATATCACTATAAATACCGAATATGACCTATATAGATCTATACAATAGAGTTCCAGGCTACAGGATTTGTATAGTCCAATATATCAGAGGAATCAGACGTAATGGGCTTGGTTGCAGTGATTTTTATGCCCCCAAAGGCAGGCATATTATAATCGCACCGTCTGTGCGTCCCCACTTAATTTGTGTTGGGACTGTAATTTTATCATACATTGAGGGATTTTGAAATAACTTGGCACAAATGTCTACCACATCAAGACGATGTGTTGCGCCAAGAATCACGTCCCTACCTCAAAGGTCCAGGTCACACTATCATTTTGAAGTTCACTTTATCACAATTAGAGTTTATAGGTACACACATTCGTGTCCAGGCTGTAACTTTCATTCATGTCCGGAATGTAACTTTGTCATGCATGGAAGATTTTTAAAATAACTTGGCACAAATGTCTTCCACATCAAGACAATGTATCCCTGCTAAGGCTCATGTCCTTCTGTCCGTGTGTCCCCACTTACACAACAATCATGTCCAGACTGTAATGTCATGCATTGAGGGATTTTGAAATAATTTGGCACAAATGTCTATCTCATAACAACATTTTGTCGCATCCAGGAACCACGTCCCTTCTTCAAAGGTCAAGGTCACACTTATATTTTGAAGGTTCATGCTATCACAATTAGAGATTACAGTTACAATAATACAAAGAACAATATTCAGCAATCAGTTACTTTCATTCTCTTTTCTTTTCATAATACCATTACCTGCATGCTTAAGAAACCTTTTCGGGGGCATTTGTCACTTGAGTGACAGCTCTTGTTTTTTTCAATTTTCAAAACAACCTGTGGCTCTCTGAAGGGGAAAATATAGCGCAATAAATCAGGAAAGGGGAAATCAAATTCTAACAAAGTTATGAGAATTTCAATTCAATTTAACATGCATGGTAGGCAGCAGAGGCTTTCTATAAGGACAGATTTCTGTCTTCTAGCTGATACAAGTCAGCTGCTGTTAAGTGAAGAAAGTTCACAGGGTATTTTAGGGAAAACAACCTTTATACGGCTGTAAAATACATGGAAAAAAATCACTGGCTTGTTGTAGTTTATGTCGGTCAAGCCCAATGTCTAATAGTTATTGCTTATAAATGAATAGCATTATAAGTAATAAAAAAATGTTAATTGTCTTGCCTTTCAAGTTTTATTTAAAAGTTTATCCAATTTTCTTCCAAATTATGCTCAATCATAACAAAAACTCTTAAACTATGTAGTTATTAATTTAATATAAAATAGAAACATAAAAATATCTAATTTTGTTTATCGGCCATACTGGTTAAGTAAAGCGCTTTGCAGATTGGTTCCAAATTTTTGAACGGAAAAATATATTTGTACAAGCTGGCGGTGAATGGGCAAATATTTCATTCAAAAATATTTTGTTTGAAACTTTTGGCTTGACATTTAACCCTTTACCTCATATATACGCCCCAAACATATATGGGCCCCAAACACATGTTTTCGTTTGAGAAATGTTGCTAAAAAAAGTGAGCACTTTTTCGGCACCGCCCCCCCCCCCCATCCAAAAGATACATCAGGGGGTTGCCAGAAGGGGGATGTGCCCCCTTGTGTTTGGGGGGGATTGAAGGTGGGCGGAGTCCCCCTCATCGCCAAGAAAATTTTGGACTTGTGAGAGGCTTAAAATGACCCCAGGATCGATCATAAGGTAACGTGTAACCAACTCTGCAAAATAGTGATTTTTGGCAATTTTGAGATGTCCCCTCGTTGCCATGGTAACAGGAAATTTAAGACTGAGCATGTCGTTACAAAGGCAATGGTCCAGTCAACATTTGTGCCAAGTTTGATTAGTATTGAAGCATTTTTCATAGTTTCCTAGCAGTTTGAACTTGTAAGAGGAGGCTTTTCAGTGAAAATGGCCATTTTTTAACATTTTGCTCATGGGGGAAAGGGTTAAATGCTTGCATTTGAATTAGCTAATCAGATTTCATGCACTGTGTGATACCCATTTGTATATCGGGTATAAGGAATTTAATTGAATAATAGGATTTAATTATGATTTTTCAGAAGTGACAGTTTAATTATTTTGTTAAAAGGAATTTATTTTTTACTTTGTTCATGAATTGGTCAAAATTAATGTCTTTATACGCTGACTTAAGTGTTTTTTCGTTCCGCCAGATTTTCTTGTTTTTGAGCAATTTCGATGATGTTGCTTTTTTTGCCGATAAGCAAAAATATCTCAAAGCGATGTCATATTTATAGGATTAGGAATTTTTAACACTACCAGTTTATAGTTTATGATGGTCAAGTCCCACGTCATATATATCAAAAAAATATCAAATATTCTTAGGGCTTTTTTCCGCAGGGACAGTTATAAGGCTGCTTCCCCAAAGTTTGTTTGTTTGTTTCATTTTACGCCTTTTCCCAACAATATTTCAGTCATATAGGCGGGTAGTTTCCTAACCATCGTTCTTGGAGAGTTACACCAGTACTAGGCTACCTTCCTCCGCGCTAAAGCTTCCCCAAAGAAAAATCATTTAAAATCATGCATTTTTTCCCAAAAATTTAATTAACTTTTCAAGTTTTTTTTCTTCCCCTTTTGCAAATATACCGTGTAATTTTCCCCCAAAATTCAGGACAGGGCTGCTTCCTGAACGTGTGATAAAAAGCTCTGTTTTTCTTTCTATGTCGTGCTCAATCATCATTAAAAAATCTTAAACAGTTTAATTATAAATTTAAAATAAAATACAAACAACAAATTAGTTTTTCCCAAACATCATACTGGTTAAGTAAAGCACTTTACATATTGATTTTAAAAGGAAAATATAATTGCACATGTGACGGTGCATGTTCAGGACGCTCGGAAACATTTTTTTGAGCATTTTTTATGCATATTTTCTTCAGAAGGATGCTAAAAAGTATGATTGTCAGTCCCTTGTATGCATAGAAGTTCCAAATCTGCATATAATTGTGTCCTTAAAATATGCAATATGCCATTGTGTAAGTGTAATGCTTGTCAACCATCATGCCTCCTCAGCTAATCAGAGTGCCAGTTTTTCCAATAATCTATTACCATATAAGTGTTTTTTTCTACAGGCTCCAAATTCTGCGTTTTTTCCAAATTTTGGCATGTTTTTATTTCTGCAGACTTTATTTCTGCGGCACATTCTTTGGACAAAACATGATTTAAATTGTGCGATTCGTCTTATCAAGATTAAGTCACATTACACTACCTATAACATTTGCATGTACACATTGGCATTTGTTTATTGTTGTCACCGCCAAATGGTACACTAATTAATACTCGCATGAAAACAAATATAATGCACACCAATAGAAAAGTATGCATCTTTTGATCAGCGTGAAATGATGTGTGAAAAATATACCCGGTAGTATCTTTGATTTTACAAAATTGATAGAAATTTAATGTAAAGCAGTTATGATGTTTTAATATCTTTACTCATAAATTGACATAATTAACAATAAATACATCCTTACAAACACAGATTATATACTTAACCCACCCACAGCAATTTTATACAACTCAATGACCCGCCAACCTTTATAATTTGTAAGTCATTACTTAGATGAAACAGGTCATAATTAAGGCAGACATTTCTTTAATGGGTTAAAAACAAAAGCATAGGGAAATATTCTACAGCATTTATTTCTGCGGTGCTGAAACTGGCTGCAGAATACGCAGAAATAAAGTCACCGCAGAAAAAAGCACTTGTGCGGTAAATTGAATTGTGTTTATGATGTTTTGGTAAGTGACAAACACAGCATAGTCTATCAGTGGTAATTGTGGTGTTGATTTTATTGGCCCTTTGAAATCATAAATGCCAATTCATAATAATTGACTGTTGAGAGGTAATTTTGGCATTGATTTCCGTTTTTGTTTTAGAAAATTGAAGAAAGTTGCTGTTAATTATTTTAACTACTTTTCATGAGATCATGAACATGTCATTTGTTAGAAAAAAAATTACACACAAATATAAAAGTCAGGTGGACAGTATACCAGATTGTCCATATTCATTTTTATTAAAGATTATCACGGAATTGATTTTTTATGATGATGTCACAATATGTTACTATGGAAGAAATTTAGTTTACAATAAATAAATGATTTTGAATTAATTCAAAATAGCAACAGTGATACCGATAAATTTCTGTGCGTAAAAATGACATTTCAAATTAGCTTAAAATTAGGCGTAAAGGTTTGACAATAAAAACTAATTTGGCTGTGTACATACCATGTTTTCTAATAAATG